GACAAAGATGGGTGGATAGAGTAAAAGAAGACTTGAAACTCCTGAACGTAAGAAACGCAGAAGAATGTGCAAATGATAGAGAAGAATGAAAACAATATGTTGTTGTGGCGATGGGCCTGTAAAAGCCCAGAAAGAAGAAGAAATGGTTTTAGTTCATCTACTATTTTATTCGGTTTTAAAAACTGATTAACATTGATCTTATATTTTATAAGTTTTTAAAACCGGTTAATTTTGTTTTTTTAAAAAAATATATTTTTCTTTAACAATTTTATACCTCAGACAATTCATTGTTATAATTATGAAATAATTAGAAAATTCAATTTTCGTGAGATATTCTTAAAAAAAGTTCATAACTTATATATTTATAATATATTAATATACAATAAATAATATGATAAACATTATTAACTTTTTATTACAATATTGAATATACTAACACAGATAATGAACAACATAACTGCAATATTAATTACGGAGTAAGACAAAAAAAAAAAAAAAAACCATATTAATTCAATAAGTTGAACAAATTTATAAATATTTGGTACAATTTAAGATAACACCATCGTCCATTAAAAACGGTATTGTAACAATAAACAATGTGGTTTCTGGTTGTCATTAATCGTGTTCACGTATTATCTACAGTAGTGTGAGGTTACAACCAGTAGTCCCTCTTACTAACTGTTCAATTTTTATCTTGCGAATTATTTTATACTTATCTAATAATTTTTACCTGTCTATTGTCAATCAAAACAGGCTGACCAACTTAAATTAATGTGTAAAAACTAAAATTAAATATTAATTATTTTTCGTAATTAAAAATGTATTTATTTTCGTTAGAAAACGAAAAATATTTTTCTAGTTAACCATTAAGTTTTCGTTCTATAAAATTAGTAGTTATGGTTCCATTTTTGTGTTCGTTCATACATATTATCCAATAAAACCGGTTAGTAAAAAAAAATGGTTTTAACCGGTTTGATGCCATGATTTATTTTATTGAATCCCCAGGTTAGAGTATCTATTCCTTTTTCTAAAATATACCTTTTATCGCCATGAGCACTAAGTGCAATTTTGTTCTGTTGTATTGTAAAAATTTTTATGTTAATTTGTTCTGAACATATTTTGTTTAATATTTAAGGATTTTTAAGTAGCTAAATAAAATTTATAGAATATGGCATATTTCTATACCAACTACTGATTTTTTTATCCCTTTTACCTTTTTAACTTCTTTCCTGGTATTGTTACGAACATACATAAATGTAGGTCCTTACAACTACCAATACATAAAGGGACCACATAAATCACAAATAGTAGAAATCGAGTGAACGAAATAGAAAGGAATAATTAAGACCCGAGGGTAATACAAACACATACTATATATGAACAGTAAGGCTACATTTCAAACTATGAATGCAATTAATAATAGTGCATAACAAAATATGGTAGATGAGCGAATAGTAATAATATTATCGAGGTCAACCATTAAAATAACAAATTTAACAATTCTTTTTACAGTAGTTGGAAATAACTTATTCCATAGAGATGCGCAACTAATTCCACGAAACCTGAGTAATTAGCAACTCAGGGTAGTAACAATAATTGGGAATAGCCTTGTTCCATAGTTTTGGGTGGCTAATTTCCACAAGACCTGAGTATATAAGGGGGTTGGGAATAGACCAATATTCAGGTGTGGTTTATACGTGTATTAGCGAGCACCTCCATGCCAGAACATTTGTTAAATTAATTGTACTTAGAGAAATTTCAAATAAACAGTTTAACTTAGATTGAGTATTTTATTTGGAATATTTCCTAAATCATCACCATCTTTACGATTGAACGACGGCATGCAATAGTATTATGCAGTATTATGTTCTGTAAAAGAATATAATTTAAAAAAAGTAAATTCAGACATTATTTTACCGTTAAGCTCATCTTTAAATTTTCATAAAAAATTTTTTGTTTACTAAGAGAACATTATAAATATTATCTAAATGATAGTCTAAAGTGTCATAATGTTCTACATTATTTTTTATATCCTGGTAAAAATCCTTGGTCTTTACTTCTATAATTAAAGAATCTGTATCAAAATATAAAGGCCGAATTTTAGTATTTTATTTTTATTTTTTATTTTGGTATTTTTCTTTTAAAACATTGTAACAAAAATGATACATTCATTTTTAAGTTATATCTAATATTGACATTCCCACATAAATTTTGGTTGATATAATTTAATCACGATCTTTTTCATATGGACTACAGCTAAATTTTTAGTGAAAATCGTTGCTCTATCGAAATTTGGTTTAGAAATTTTCTATTCTAGCACCGTCTGTAACTAATTTAATGTCAACGTGGTTTTTCACATACATCATTATTCTACCAAACACGTTTAAAATAGAAATATTTTTAAAATGTATCTCAAGCTTTTGTGTCCAAATCAATATAAAATTTTAACCAAGAAGATTAAGCAAACTCTAAGACTATAAATTTTTTCTATTTTCAACTCATTACAAATATATTCTTGTAGTGCTATATAATGGACTACATATTTTTTCTTGTCTTATAAATTTAAGGTTAACTTAGGTAGTTTGACATGGTCAATATAATTTTCTGGATCTAAATGGAAATTTGAGTGTTTATTGTGGAATTCTTTAAGATAAGCTAAATCGATTTAAAAAATATAACCATTAAGAGAATTAACATAAATATTTGTTACATCTATATCTATACTAACTCACTTAAATCCTCCAGACGCATTGACTTATTGGCCACCTATAAAGATTATTTAGGTCGAAATATTGTAAATATATGGATTCTTTATTAATAATAAATTCAGTTTCCATATATTTATTGTTTGCTTTAGAATATCTACCACTGCATTGTGTAATTCCACCTCGTAATCTATTTTTGATGAATAAATGCATATCATAGTCTGATAATAATTCTAATTTTATTCCTGTTTTTTTTTTTAGCATACAATTCCACGTGAAACCCGGAGTTGTATAACTCCATAAAGAACCTATGTTATAAGTTCTCAAAAAAAGATCATAAGTTTTCAAAAATATCTGTTAAAAACAACACATTGGATCTTGTTATATAACAGTTACAATATCGTGTAACAATACACAATTTCACTTCCACAAAATTTAAAAATGCAACTAAATATTAATGGGTATAAACCAACATTACAAGTAGGTGAGTAGTGGGTAAAAGCATCAGGATGATGTCAATTATCATTGGTAATATGTAAAAAATAATAATGTTAATAATTTTTAAATTAGTTAAAAATAATATATTATTTATTTGTCTATAAATAAATATATAAATAAATATAAAATTAAAAATTTTAATTACATTTTGTATTATTTTTTTGTTATATACAATAAAAATTAAATTTAAAATAAATAAATGTTGAAGAAATATATATTAATTTTAACCAAGGAAATTGTTTACTCCGCGCGACGGAATAGGTACTCATAATCCGTGCGACCTACTGAAGGTTAACTACACTGCACAGTATTTCCAAACTAAATCATACCAGAAAAAATATTTTAATTTCCACTATATTCAAAACATATAACTGTTTATATCTATAGTACCTCTAGTTAATGAAATATATCAGAAAAAATTATTGTTAAAAGTAGGTGAACATTATCTTTGTTTTTCCTCCAATGTCTTGATAAATACTTAAGAATTAACAAATACAATTTTAATATATAAATAAATAAATAGTTTATACATAGAAATAAATAAATGAATGTTTAGCTTGAAGTATTATTATATTTGTAAAGCATGACTGGTTAAAATATTATAACATGAGAACCAATGGCAAAGCAGCTACCAACAAACTTGTCAATAATCAGAAGACAGTTCAGGAAATACAAAACTGAAGACACTCACCCTACTAACATTTATAATAAAATGACCACATTCTACTTGTTGAGCATAATGAACTAGTTTGTCTTGTATTCCTAATATCATGCTTGTAATAAATAGGATAGGATATAGCCGCAAATGTATTATTATCCTTATGGTTCTTTATAAAAACATTTATACCTCCCATAATTACATATAACATTATTGTCATAATTTATTAATAATAAACTGATCTTAATTTAACTAATTTCATCTTCATGTTTAATACATAAATTAACAGATTACGATGATCCCACCAAGATTAGGTAAGACATTTTCCCAAAGAACAATAGCAATAAATATTATATTTATTTAAAAAAAATGTTGAAAGGACCTTTTTACTAAATTATTAGATTAGAAATGAAGAATACAAAAATGATATAGACCAAATATCTTAGCATTTATAAGGATTAAACAACTAGAGTGCTTGGACACGATTGGAAAATGGATGGACAAATAATAAAAAAAATACTTGTAATAAAAATGAACAAAACAAGTATCCTAGGAAGACCAAAAACCCGGTATATATAACCCTGCATCGATGTAATAACCCGACTTGAAAGAGATAGACCAGAATGTTACATTCGCTTTAACTTATAACAGAGATAAATGAAAACACCTACTGAAGACACCTTGAAGACATCAATGGTCTTTAATGGACTGGTAAGTAGAAAAGAAAAATAAATTACAAGATTACTATGTAAGTATATAAATATAATATTCATAGGTTTAAAGCAATTTAAGTAAAAAATATGATTTAATAAAGTGAATTAAAATAAATACCGCCTTCAACTTATTTATTGTGTAAACAAGAAAAATCCAGCCCAATATAACAAATGTCTACCTAGGTAAGTAAGTACCTACCGTAAGTAATGTCTGATAAGACAGAGATAGAAAATCACTAGGTTCAATTTCAATTTATTAGCGTAAAATTTAATATTTACAGGTACTGCTATATTATTAAACAACAACTACATTTCCCTAATTTTTTAATGTAATCGAAAATAGTTTTGAGATTATTGACCCACGGAGTACTGGTAATATTACGAAACTAACAAGTCGTATTGATATTAGGCAAGTGAAATACTTACCAGCCCAGGATTCGGTTTTCTTGGACAGTTTGGCCCATACAATGAGTCCATGATCTAGGTTAACGTCGATCTTCATATTTCTATGGATTAACAAAAGTTTAATATTTAAAACGCCTCGTGTAGTAAAAAATATTAATAACAAAACACCAACGAAGAAAATAACGTGCAACGAGAATACACGTGTAACACATATAACAAAAGGATTTAGAAAAAAGGGCAACTAGTAAACGATGTTTTGATAATAGAAAGTAGGAACGCCACTGCTGCTCCCGGATAGGCTAGTTAGTTATAAATTCTTAGCAACTACACAATCGATATTATACAATCGATTACTGATACATCGATTTTATTTTTCTTAATTATTACGTTTTAGAGGTAGGACTTATCGTACATTCGTTCATCGTTTACTTAATTGAACTATTTCATTAACAATAAAATACTTTTATTGAATGTTTAATATTTTTTATATAAATTAAATAATCAAAATTTAATATTTTCATTATCAGTCTAAATGAAACACGTATCACGAAATAACGAGATTATTCTTTGTCGTTTTTGCGTATTATGAACGATTCGTCCTAATGAACAAATTAATTTAGTCTCATTTAATCATTTTGTGTAGACGACAATTCGTTAATTTGTGAACCAGTTCAAATCGTTCACTATGGTGAATAATTCAACTGAACTAGGTCGTTCCCGAACGATACGTATCTTATGTATGAAGTCTTAACAGCTTATTATGATGCCGTAAATCAATGGCGTATCCATGATTTTTTAGAGGGATTTTTTTTTTTGTAATAAAATGTAACTAGTAAAGGATTTCACATTCCCTGAAATGAACTCATAAATTATTTTAATAAATTATAATATTACGTTTAACTATACGTTAAATATTTAAAATAATTTTTTTCCTTTTTTACAAATATATTTAAAATATATTAAAAAAAAAATAATGATAATAGTAATAAAAAATTAATGTACAATAACAATAGTATTTAATAACATATTATATTTTATAACAGTCTAATGCGGCGATTCTTTCTGTCCTTATTTTCAATAACTTCTTCAACTGTTACTTTTACATCATGGTGAATGTTCATTAATGCTAACTCGTTTAGTCTATTTTCAGTTATTGTGTTCCTGAGATATGTTTTCAACCACCTGAGTGTCAAAAATGATCTTTCACTAGTACCAGTAGTAACAGATAAAGAAGCTAAAATATTTAAGAGTGCGTATATTGAAGGGTATTTGTTTTCGTAACATTCAACTAAAGCAGATACTCCATTTATTATGGGTTTTGTTTTTATTTATTGTTTCCATAATGAAAATTCCCCCAAAACCGAATAGTCATCAACTTTATAGGTTTTCAAAAGTATTTCGAAACATTCATCACTAGTTTATTTATCTTTTATTAAACAAAGCAAATTACTCATAATTGATTTGTCTGCTTAAAGTCAATTCATTAAATTTATCAATCGAGTCGGGCCAATTGTCAAATTTAGTTGGTACAAACTTCTTCAGGACTAAATGAAATGCAATATTTACACTAAACACCATTATAAGATTTTGAATATGCCAACCACTTTCATCGATCAAACCATTTATACTGAAACTTTAGATATTTTTCCAGTTGCAATAAACTTGTGTGATGGTTCTGGATACTAAGTGTTCGTTAAAATTTGACATATTTGTTCTGAATCAATCTGCACAAATTATAATTATATTTTAATAAAATTATGCTTATTGTTTAATAGGTTTATATAGATAGTTGCATACATAAAAAGTCTTATTCTCCTAAATATAAATAAATAAATAGTAAATTAATTTAATTTTAATTAATTTACTACTTACTTTTAATTATTTAACTATTTATTATTTTTATTTTTCTTCCATCATACATTTATTTTAATTGTTTTTCTTATCAAATAAAAACTGATTGTAAATAATATTTTCCAATATCAAACTTGTTCAAACAAATATTCTCAGTGTTTTTTCTATTTACATTTTTTGAATTTGTATTAGCTGATGATGTACCTTGCTCTTACAAATGCTCTAAAGCTGGTATTACAGTAAGCGTCTAATACAATTTAAAAAGCCATTATTTAAAAAGCAATAGAGTTTATAAGTAATAATTAATAACTATTAAAAATATATAGCATAAGCTGTTTTTTATGACATTTGTATATATATATTTTGTATCATAAAACACACATCATGCACATTTAGTATTTAATTATCAACCAGAAAAAATAAATAAATGCATACAAATTTGGGCTCTGCCTACTAGCATTCAATTTAAGCAATAAACCATTTAGATATAAAATATTAACCCATATAATATGAAAAATTACTTAAAAAAATTATAAATATATGTTTTAAGTTAATAAAAATTCATTTTTTTGAATATTTTATTATAACATTCTACATAAATTTATCAAAACTTACAAATTACTCAAAGTATGACATAAAAATGACAACAAATGTCCTTAGAATATGAATTTAAAAAATTACAAATATTTCTTTTATAAATTATCCAAAGCTTACAAATTACTCAAAAATCAAAATAATTGCGTTGTACAATTGGAGCGTATTTTATGTTATCAAAAGTAAATTAACAACAATTATCTATTTATAAATATTTATATTTGGAAAACTTCTCTCCACGTACACTGAAGTGATTAGTAGACGCAGATGAGCACTAACCGACGTTTTAATTTTCGCCATTTCGAAAATATTACGAAAAAATAATAAAATTTAGATATAATAATATTCACTGCAATACGACGAGATAAAATCGGACAAGTCTTAAGTTATCGACATAATGGTCGACAAGAAACCATAAGAAGTGAACTAGTGTGAAATTAGTAAAAATGCAAAAAAAAATTAATTATTGGAATTCTCAATGAAACACATTTGTGGCTAGGAGAGCATTGTCTATAAATTGTTAATAAAATAATCATTGTTCTATAAAAAAAAATGCAAAATGCATCAACTTCGAGCCCTAGTAATAAAGTTTCCAAATTATTATTACAAACATACTTTATTACCATATGTAGTATTAGTACTACTAGGTAGTACATTATCAGGGGCGGCTCCAGAACATTGGTTAGGGGAGAGGGGCAAGTTATAATTTTATAAAATCTTATAACAAAAAGAAAACAACAATTTTTACAACACAAATTCAAGTCGTCTAAGTAGTAATAAAGGAGGACTTCTGAGTCCATTTTTTCAATTTTTAAATAAATAGAAAAAAAATAATTTTTCTTTATTAATTATTTCAAATATAAAAAATACAAATACATTTTATATAATAAACACGTAAAGAACATAAAAATTCAATACAAGTTTTCTTAACATATTCAACAATACGATCATAAATTAAAATACAATAAGCAGTCACACCAGTAAGATTTTCTGAAGCATCAATTTCGATACTAACATCAACAGTAGAAGCTGTACTTTCATCATTTTGCTTTGATGCATCTACTACAACAATTGGTGCAGTTGATTTAAATTCTGAAGGGCTTAATATTGGATTTCGTTCTCCTTTTTCATAATACGATTCATACGATGATACATATTGTGAAATTATTTTTTTTCAAAGTTTAAGTTTAAATTATCATAAGGGTATAGAACCGAATTTAGATTACTTTAATATTTTTCAAGTTACAATGATCAAATTGACTGCAATCTTTTTCAATATCTCCTTTTTGATTTTTCTGTAAACTTATAATATAATGTGGGTTTTCTAATTTTGATGCAGTTTTCAAATTCCAAACCACATTTTTTAGTAGTTCCTAATTCAGGATATTCATAAGTTTCATATAATCTAAAAGGCATGAATAAACTTTTCTCTTTTTCTAAAATTTTCAACAACTAATCATTCTACATCGTCTACACTAACATGCGGAATTTTCCAAATAACTTAATTAAGTGTCATTGAACCTGAAGTCGCTGCTTTAGATGTTTTTACAGTTAAAAATTTAAATCATTATTTGTTCTGGTTAAAGTTAATTCAATTCTTGAATTAATTAAAACTTTTTTAAAATCTTCAAAAAACCTTAACCAATATTTTAAGGGAATGCAGGCAGTAAATTGACTATCATTATCTGTTATTATTGTATTATTTTTAAAAGTCCAGCCAGTATTTTCATAACAGTAATAATTATCCGGCGTACTTGTTACATATCCTTTTAGTGAACTAGTAACCCCTAGATTACGAGTTCTGTCTACTTCTATTCCATTGATCAAAGAAAGAAGATAAACCATTATTACATAGTTTTACTTTTCCTGCTTCTTCAATTATTCCTTCTTGATAAAGATAACTTTTATGGAGATATTTATTTATTTATTTGTATATTTTAAACGGGTGAACCCAGTTACAATTATTATAAATATACGTCTAGGATTATATAATATAGTAACAATAATATTTGTTATTACATGAACACTAATCTTAAAAATTATAATATGACAATACAGAGAGTATGCAATTAGTAAATAGATAGGTTTGAGTAATGTATGTGATGAGACACTTTGATTAAAATAATTCACTGAAGACAATGGTTAAGAATACAAAATAAAGTTGTATAACATTGGACTTAATTTAATGAGATATTGACATAGATTGTAACATTTATACAGCCAAAATATTATTTAGGTAAAAATTAAAATGATTTAATGAGACGCTGGAAAATAGATCAACATTTAAATAATTAGCTAGTTTCATTAATCTATTTATAGGAGCATTTTGACCATAGTTATAACGTTGGAGTTGCACATAAAAAGTATTAAATTGCCTAATTCTACGATTTTGGATATTAAAATTTAATAAAGAATGTTGTTCTGGACAGTTGATATACCCGTTAGTTAATTTAAAAATAAAACATAGATCGAGTCTTTTCCTTCTATTGACAAGGGTTTCTAGCTTTAAATACGACAATAATGGTTGATACGATGAATGAGGCGCACGTTCGATACAACATCTGAATTGAATAATACGTAAAAAAACGGTTTTGAATTGATTCCATACTTTTTGTAACACCGATTGATTGCGGGGACCATACTATAGATCCATAATCGAGTAATGATCTAACGAAGGAACAGTAGAGTGATTTTAACTGTTCTACCGAGTATTCTCCCGAACTACCGTCCGAGGTTCGCGCCGTAATTAATGGGTTTCGTGCAGTTGCGGATCGGTATTCTCATTCTGTTACCGAGTCGTTACGGGCGGTTCTCTCAATTCCGACCGCCGCGCAAACGGACTCGAGTCATCTTCACTTGGAGAACGATCACCAACCCCGTTATGGCGTCTTCCCGAGATACCACTTCCGCGTTTTGACGG